CTACCTGAACTGGGAAGCACAGAGAGACTGTTATTACTAGAGATAGAGTTGGCATTGATATGACTGCATAAATAGACCTTACTACCATAACCCTTATATTCCATTAGTTTCCTCTAGATAATTTTTAGTAGCATTTTTACAATTTTGTTATTCATCAGAATAAAACCCCTCCTTTATTTAAATTGTGTATAACATCCCAAGTCTAACTGCTGCTTTGAGTTTATTTTCTGTGAGCTTGCATGTGAAATATCAACATATTTGTGTTGCTTTTCTCTTGTCCATACATATTTTGTCAGTTAGGTTTTCAGGGCTTCAAACATTGAACTCAAGAAGGGTTAAGTTGAGTGTTTTCCTTCCTTAGAGTTTCCCATTCCAACAATTGAACTCTGTCAAACTTCCTTTAAAAAATTTAGTATACAATTTTTAAAAAGGAAAGTAAGAAATGAATAAGAAATGAGAGACAACAATATAAATGTTGAGTATGTGAAAAATCTAAAGCATCGATGCAAATGGAATGAGAGATTTTAGGCATTCACTGTTTAGTCATCTGCTTCATAGAATCATTATCAAACTGTCAATTACTGTAGGCTCACTGTATGAGAGATTATTACTGTCACACTCTAAACCTGCAGTGAGGTCAGCTGTTGGATCAATAACAACTCTGCTCCTTCAGATAGTGAATCTAAATGAAAATTGCCACTGTTAATCAGGTATCTTGAAATCCTTGAACAGGGTACTGTTATAAATGATTGCTGACTATTGTTCTCTCTAACCTCAGTGGGCTTTGCTCATCCATATTTTTAATTAACTAATTTAGTTAAGTACATTTAAAATACTTAGATCTTTTCAGAATTCTCTATAGGGAGGTTATTCCTGCAGTAGACATCAGGACAAATATCCTTCCTTTTTTGTAGAGATATATTGGTTAGATTTTAATTTTTTCTGAGTAACACATTTCTAAGAAAGACTAGTTTCACATTCCACTTAGTACTTAGTGCTTTACTTCACAGAATGGAGGTATTTTAAAATTTAGTAAAAATATACAATGTTCTTCACGGGGTATTAAGCAAAAGTCAAAGCTTTGGAAAATTACCACCTTCAGTGCAAAAAGAGATATCTTTTGCTATTTATAAAGTTAATTAGTAATGAAAAATCTTTTAAAAATGTTGAATTAAACTGAGTTTATAGAGTTAATATTCCTTTAAATACATTTAAAGACCAAGATTTTTGCCAGTTATGAGCATTTACTTTTACATTTTTGTGATTTTTGTCCTTTATATTAAGATCTGAAATTTTAAAACAAATTTGTAGTTTAAAAAAATATTAAGAAAAGTCCACTATCTTACTTCTGTTAAGCAATTTTGTGAAGCTAGGATTGATATGGTAGTTAAAACTATATAACTACATTTTTACTTGGTAATTGGTATCTCTCATATTTAGTAAATGAAGCTATGATCAAGGTAAGACAGTCAGCAATTGATGACTACTTTGTTTTCCTGACTTGACTGGTAAATTAGCAAATATATGTGCATCTTAGGGTGTGTGGGAGGAAAATGAGTAGTCCTAGCATCTTCCTGAAAAATTTTCTGGGTATTGAGTCCAACCTTCTATTTCTACAAACTTTCCTGTGTTTTTGATCAGGGGTCACCATAGGGATGGGGAAATAGGCAGAATCTTGTTTTTACCTGGTGCTCAGTAAGATCAGGGTTTGTTTTCTAGAATAACCAGGGACTTAAAAGCACTTTTGCTGTGCACTATGACTCTTCTCTTGGGCCTTTTGATGCCCAAGTGTCACTAAAAGCAGAACAAAGTTTGACTTTCACTTTGTATCTTTTGTTACTGTAAATCTTGAGTTAAATTTCTCAGCTCTGCAAATAGAAAGGTATAATTCTTGAGGAAATATTTGTCTAGAAGCTGGAATAACAAGCTTGATTTTCTCTGAATTTACATGCTCTCGCCCCATTCAAGACTGCAGGAATTCCAGGGGCATTCAAGTAGGCTCAGAAGTCTCTAGTCATTGTCCTGAACCTATGATCACCTGAAAATCAGACTACCCTTCAGCCAAAAGTACTCCAGAGCTATGACACCAGGACAGGCTCCAGCCCACAAACTAATACTTGAAAGCTGGCCACTCAACTTTTGGGGTGGGCCAGTGTGAACCCTGGTATCGCAGTGCGCCCCTTCCAGTTACCTAACCTGGATTCCTTTCTTATCTTCCCTCCAATTGTCTGATTAAAGCTTTTTTTCCTAACCCTGTAGATTTGTGCTTTAGCTTTAATTTCTGTTATTACTAAAAGTAAGGACCCATGATTGCCAGCAACATGTTCATATGTACTCTGAATAGCTTAAGCATGAATAAATATTCTGTCTGAATAGCTTAAGCATGAACAAATATATTCATCTCCTTGATTCTCTACATGTTACTTATTTTCAGTTAACCATTTATAGTATTTCTGAACCTCTATTTTTGGATATTTATTGCTGTAAAATAGAAGGGTGCAGTGAAAGTGGTATATCCCTACTGTACAACATCAGGGTCCTTGTCTGAGGAGAATCAAATGGTTGTAGAATAGCTTAAATAAAGGGGGCTAGAAGTATTTGGAGATTCTTCCTTCACAAATCTAGAATGTGGGCCAGGATGGCCCAAAGGCTGGGTTCTCTTGGAGATTGAAAGGAACATATATATATGGCTTCTCCACATACACCGGGCTTCTCAGTGGTGATTGGATTCTGAATGAAAGTGTCCCGGGGGCGGGGGGTAACAGGACAGTGGGTATGCTAAGACAGCCAGCCAAAACTGTATGAGCTTTGTGACTTAGATTTGGAAGTCACAGGAAGTCACTTGGATTCTAGCTCTTTGATCAGTGCAGGTATAGAGCTGCCTGTAGCCAAGAGGAGATTATAGAGATCAAAGAATTTATGATCATTTTTAAATATACTGTAACACCCAATTCATAGGTTTTCTTTTTTTCCTAAGAGGTTTTTCCTGAATTATCTTACAAATAAACAGGAGATACCTAGCACTTTATAGGGGAAAAACAGAGGTGAAGTTTATATTGTTTCTCCCAATATTACTCTGCTTATCCATCTATACACAGTAGGTGACAAAAAAGTTAGGGTGACAGTAAATTGCTAGGGGCATTTCATATAAGTTATTTTTCTTCTAATGCACCTTACATGCAATCAGGCTACTGTCTGAGTGTTCTGTCTGATGTAGTCTTCATTAACTACAGCTCTTTTAGCTGTTCATTTGTGGCATGAAACACACCCAAGTACAGAGAATTGCTCTTGAACCAAGCCATTGTTTCATGACTATTAGAACACAAATCAATGCATATTGACCGAGTTTGTGTAGATGAATGTAATAGCAGTGCCCTTAGCAAAATATGGTTTATTTCTTCAAAACCATGTGAAAGGCCTAGAATAAGGAGCACTTAAGTTTTCAAGGTATTGAATTCTAGCCCCTGAATTAATAAGTTCACTTCTTCAAATACTTGAAGCTCTGTGAACAGATGCTATACTTTCTAATGTACTTGCTTCTGTGTGGATGGTGTTGGGCAAGAGGCCATTAAGTGCTAATGACTTTAGGCAGCATTCTGATGACACTTTTAATAAGCACATATCATCTCTATTGATCCTCAAAACAACCATGTGAAACAGGTATTGTCATCCCAAATTTACAAGTATCAGGAATTTTCTGAAGCATGCCCCAGGTCATTAATTAACCTATGTTAGGTGGAAGCGAGCAAGACTAGAAATGGAGAAAACTATCATGATTGGTTTACTAAAGTAATCAAAACCACAGGGTATTATTTCTTGACAAAACTGAGGGGTTGTTGGATTTTGGTTTTATTCTGAAATTAGAGCCAAAAGGAGCTTCATGTGTTCATAAGCTAGGTTTTGGAAAAGGAAGAGGTACTATAACTGACTTGCTGTTAGAAGGTGGGGTTTGATTAGGGTATGCAAATTTTTTGGGGGTGTGATTTGGAAGGCTCTGTCTTCCTCTCTGGCTCCTCTCTTTTCTTTCTACTTTCTGGCTGCCATGACATGAGCAGTTTTCCTCCATCGAGACCCTTATAGCATGCCTTCCTTTGGAGCTGGCCAACTATAGACTAAAAATGTAAGTTAGAATAAACCTGTCCTTTAAATTGCAGATATCAGTTGTTTTATCCCAGTGATGAGAAAAGTAACTGACACATATTTTGATATTAGAAGTGGGGTTGTTGCTGTGACCATGTGGTTTGGAAGCCTTTGGAACTGGTTCAGGGAAGGAGTTTGGAAAGGTTTGGAGATACCTCCAAAGTAAAGAAACCTTAATATGCTTTAAGCCAAGCTTGATGGGAGATTTTGGTCAGAGCTCAGAAGTCCAGAATAATGATTGAAATTCAGATGGTAAAGATCAGGGGTCAGGCTGTTTCAGTTGGAAACAGGGATTCCATTGGCAGTTGGACTCCAGGCCATGTGTATAATGGTATGGCAGAAAATTTGACTACATTTTGCTTATATCCTGAAACTTTATGGGAGACTAGGATTAAGGGTGGTGGTGTATAATCTACCATTTCAATCCAGTTTATTTTGTATCTCTTGTATTATAATTTTCATCTTTAAATTTTGATATAAATCATTTTTATGTATCTTTTGTACCACACATTATAGCTTCTTGAACACAGTGAATGCTGATTGTTTTTTGGTTTTTTTTTTGAGAAAGGATCTTGCTATATAGCTCAGGCTAGCCTTGAACGTACTATGTAGCCCAGGCTGGCTTTGAACTCACAGCATTCTCCTGCCTCAGCCTCCCCAGTTCTGGGATTATAGTCATGTGCTACCATACTCAGTGCCCCTTTACCATTTTTACACCTCTTACATTAGCATCAAGAAATGAGCTGAAAATGAAGATCTGATCAATTATAAAAAATAAGGAAGCTACATTGTTTTTACAGTTCTTAATGTTGCAGAAAAAGATATGGGACCCTATTACATTACATAACCAGACTCCTAACCTGTTCATGACTATTGGATGTACATTTTCTTCATTCTTCTCACAATTCCTCAAAAACAGGGTACTCTATTTATGTTTATTTTGGAAATGAGAGTTGAGAAGTGGTCTTCTGTCTGTTACATGAAGAGCTATTCATGGCTGTTTCAGTTGGAAACAGGGATTCCATTGGCAGTTGGACTCCAGGCCATGTGTATAATGGTATGGCAGAAGATAGGAGAGATATGCCATAGGATAGGAGAGAGGAAATAGAAACAAGGAGACTGACGAGTATTTCAACACAGTGTTATGGATACACTGGAAAGTAAGTTATGAATAAAAGAATTAAGGGGAGTGAGATTGTTTTTCCAGCTCATACTTGTATTCTTGGTGGCCAGGAAGTACTTGGGCCAAGCATGTTGCTATACAGCAAGAGGGTTAACCCGGTGGTTACACTGAGTGACACAGACTCCCACTCAGTGATTTTAGTTACCTCACAGTATGAACAGTTTTGCACAGTTTTGCACAAAGCTGTATAAAGCCTTTAAATCTAGTGATCTAGTAGCCAGTGGTCCTGGTAGAGGCACTGTTCTGGAAAAGACCTGTGGAAGAGTTTTCCAACACAAAGGTGGCCAGATCTAGAAAGTTGTCATCTTTTAAATTTTCAGTAGCCTTTTCTACTCTAGGTGACTGAAAACCATATCTGTGTAAATATACCAAATATAAGGCAGCATTACACAAGGTAAGATGCAAGTTTGAATACTGTAACAGTCATGTACCATATGAGTTTCTGTCTTGGCATAGATATTATTCATTTCATTATCCTAAGAAATGTTAAAATCTCCAACATGAGGACCTTGTTAAGGTTTGGGTTCTAGGCAGACCTGATAGTTAGCTTCTATTATTAGAATCCTTCACAGGCAGTGGCTTTTTTGGTACCAGTGTCAGCCAAAGTCTGTATTTTTTGATATGGAGTAAAGACACACTTTGCATGAAATGAAATTTATTCATGGAAAATTGAAGCATGCTGGAATAAATAACATGATTGATGTTTTTTTCTGTTTTAAGTGTATCAAATGTGTCTAATGAAAATTCCTGACTATTAGAATATTTCATATTTTTATAATAAACATTCATGCAATTTCTGTAAGAAGTGAGTTCATTCTTGGGGAGACCTTCAATGTTTGACAGTTCTGAAAATTTGCTCAGGATGTACATCTGGTAGCATAACACTCTTACCCACACTATATATATTCATTTAGTAACTCATTGAGGAATTATTTATTGAGCTTCTATTTTTGCATTGTGCTAAACCCTAAGAACAAAAAAATGAATAAGACACTCTCCATTTTAAAGGTTCCTATATCTAGAAATATGTGATCGGAGTGATAACTTTTGTTATATGGATTTTGAAATTATTTAGCTGCATTGCTTAGAGTCATATGAAAGATAAGTGGAGGGTGTGAATTGTGAAGTGAGTTTCAGGCTGTCTTTGGAGAACCTATTCTGATGTAGATATAAGAAAGCTTAGAAGTCATCTGCTTTATTAAGAAATTGAGTTTTGAGTTACCTTTTGCCTTCAGGGTCACACATAGTTTGCTTTGAAGGAATGGGAACAGACCCACCTTCCCCCTTCCTAAAGTTTTTGTTTTTCCCCAGCAGTTGAGAGCATCTTTAGGTTAAGACTAATGTAGAGATGGTGTCTTCACATCCCTGATATCCTCTGGCATTTACATTTTCCCTGTGAGGTAGGCTAGAAAAGTCGTGGTTTTACTTCCAAGTTATACACTGACACACCAGGGGAGTAAGTCACTTGCTCAAGCTCACACAGCTACCAAGTGTTGAGCACGGACTCTGTTGGTTTCTCTAACCAAAACCAATTAACTCTATTTACCCAATCAAATTTTTCTCAGTCCACTTTCCAGTGTTTCCCATGATAACTTTAGGAGCAGCAAACAAGAGTTCCTCTCATAAAACCTTGGTACTAATTTTCCTGTCTGCAGCAGGCTGAGGGTGAGCAGAATAGGCTACAAGAAATGGATGCGTCATTCCTCATATTCCTAGTTCTCAACTAGAAGCTTTGGTTTGGAAGGGAGAAAATCTTTCTTGAGCAGCAGGTATCACAGAAGTGTCCCACAGTGCACATTATCTCACAACAAGAACATATCGTGTTCTTCGCTTAGAACCAAGGAAACAGGCTTGGAGCATTGAAATAATTTTCTCTCAGTGACGCGAGAAACTTAATTGATTAAGTTTATTCAGGTCACATCAACTTTCAGGTGTTCTCTATCATTTTACACACTATAGGCTTTTTTTTTCATTATAGGCTTTTAAGAAGGAGTACAGGAGAAAAATGGAAGGACAGCAAAATCGTTACAAGAATGAGAAGAGTTAGGAGAATGAGCACTGATACAGCACAGCGAAAAGTGGAGCGTAGGTGGAGATGGAAGGGGAAAAGTGGCTTGTGCAGAGTGCCTTTCGTATGTGTAAGCATTTTATATCCTCCTGCTTCTTCTTCAGGCAGAACAATTCTCTTTATATCCTTCCTTCACCTCAGATGTTATATAATTTTATCTGTGCTCTTTTTGTAAGTATAAGTACAGGAAACTTCTTAGCATCCACTTTATTAGAAGAAAAATGATTTTTATCTTGTATATTTATATAACATGTTATCATAGTGATTAAGTCTTAAATTAAAATCTCAACGAAGGCATTTTCTTCAAAATTACGTCATAGTTTATTACATAGCAGATACTGCTTCCAATGGGTTAGACCCACACAGCTCCCTTTTTAACAGGGAGCTCAAATTATTCCAGGGAGCGGCTGCTCAGCAGTATAAAGGTTAAGGGCAGACAGATGGCTTTTGAATTCTGACTTTTGCATAGCTTTGTGACCTTGCACCAGGTTTTTAACCTCTTTTAACTTATGTACTTATCTACAAAATGGGGGTAATTTCTCCTTCATAGAGACATTATGAGGATTAAATGACACCTACCATGTGAGATCTAATGTGTAAAATAAGAGGTCAGACACTGTTAGTTTTCCTATACTTTCCTCCACACAGGATTGAGGAATAGCTTTAATTTTAATGCCTCATAGAAGCAAAAAGTGAAGGATTTACCACACTTCCCAATGGAATCATTTCCTATTAGGTTCCAATTTGCTGTTCTAACTACTGACAGTGTTAAACTTGCACTACAGGTAACTCTGCAGGTGGCAGTAATCCTCTTTGGGGCTGTTGAAAGATGCTGATTCTGGTCAGTTTGACATTTTCTAGGGCTCTATGGGAAAAGTACTTGCTCTACTTTGAACTCTCACCAGTGAGTTGCTTGATGTTGGTCAAGTCATTAGACAACTCTGGTAGTTGATGTTTACTTCTCTTTTAGGACTTAAATTTTTCTACTGTTATTACCTGTATACTTGCTTGTTTCCACCACCAAGGGGAGGCTAATGATGTATCTTTCTTACCTGGTATACTGGGCAGTACCTTCTCCACTGCTTCTCTTAGTGATTAGAAAACCCCAGGCCCGGTTTGGTATGAGATGGTATGACAATGTTGACATTCGTAGCAGAGTTAGTAATCTGTCACTGAAACTAAGTACAAATCTAATTCACTGTTCCATACTTATACACTTTCCTTTCAGAAGATTGCCATCAAAAGAGCATAATTTTGAGCAGCCTGGTCTGTGGCACCAGGTCAGGTAATGCAAAGAGCTCTTGTCTTTTCTTTTTCATTTAGTGACGGTTACTCACTGTATAATTGAGTTGAATGACCAAAGTTCATTAGGCCTGGATTTCTATATGTTTTTAAATTTCTGTCCTTATCACCTAACTCTCAAACTATTATTTAATTATGGAGACTTTAAGAGAAATACCAGAACTGAAACTTAAAGCTGATCAATTTACCTTGGAGCTTTTAAAAGTCTCTGAGGAAAGTGCCTCACCATCAATATTAGGTTTTTAAAGCCCATGAAATAATTCTAACACACAATCATGGCTGACAAGTACTGAGCTTGGCCTCTCCTTCCCTGGAGACACAAGCCTCCTGAACCTAGAGATAGACAGCTACATGGAAATGTGAAGAGGGCAACTAGATATTTACATTGTACAACAGAATTTCCATTAATCTTCATATTGGCTTAGAAGGACAACTAGAATAATGTATGCTTTATATATGAATGATGCTCGTTGATAGTGAGATTTGGAGTGAATATTTTTATACTTGCCTTCTGACTTCTCAATACTGTTTATTTTTTAAATTAACATTTAACACTTTCATAATGCCAGTAGTATTGGCATTACATGTTGCCTGGCAAAAAGGTCACAGACAGAAAATCATATTCATAACGATAACTAAAATAATAAATTTATAAATTATATGACTATTTCTTGGCATCAGTCACAACTTTTAAAAAATGTTTAAGATTAAAATATTCACTGGAATTGAGCAATGAATGTTATTGGCATCTGACCTCTTTGAAAGCCACAGTTTTTCTTAAAAAGCTTTCTTCATCATTAGTTCTGTAACTTTGGAACCCATTTCTAATGTGCTAATGACCTTAAAAACATCAACCATAGAACTACCAAAATACATTAGCTTTATGCCTAAATGACACCCTCATTTTCTTGTAACCATTATAACCACTGAGAGAAAGGATTATTTTTTTAAAAATTTAAAAAAAATTGTTTTTTGATACCGGGGGTCAAACTCGGATCCTTGAGCTTTCGAGGCAGGCAGCAGAATCACTGAGCTATATCCCCAAGCCCTCGCAAAAGGGTTATTGCCTCAGCTTCTTGGAGCAATTTCAAAGATTTGAAGAGGTTGGATTTTAGAAAAATTTTTTCCTTTTTTGATCCTTAACCGGTTGCAAACATCTATGTACCTTAACATTGTCTAGTGGATCAATATGATGCTTTCGTGCACTTCAGATTAGAAACTTCTGGCTTTAAATCCCTTAACATATACTTTAGGAATAGAGCTGAAATTTAATATGCAGCCTGTGAACACCCAGTGTTGGGTCACACTCCATAGGTCACATCAGTGATCACACAGGTGCAGTAGGAGCTGGGCAACTTTGAAGGGTAAGTCACTGGACCTCTCCATGATCTCAGAATGGCTTTCCTTACCTCTCACTGAGCCAAATAAGCTTCT